CTAAATTTAGGCTATTTGTAACAATACACCTGTAATTTGAACGACAAAATGTTTAATCACTGATACGTGTTTAATTATCAAATTAAAAGGTAAACATTTTATCAGTGTCAATTCCCTTTAATATTACAGCAAACAATACAAAATTGATTCTATTGAACACAAATTCACTCTACTGTACATTATTGTTTGTTATAGAATATATAATATACACTGATAACACACATATCCTCTGAATAAAATATATATATTTATATTTGGTTAATGATACGGGTACGGGCTTCATGCACCCCCTTAAAACCTCATGTAAATTGTAAATAAACCACATAAATGATAAAATATGATTAAATGATGTGGTAGATTTCCCTAATACAAATGGACCCGAGTCATTCCACACTGAAGAAACAATTACGCTTACGGGTGGATTCGGTTTTCCGTCGCGGAAAGAAGGATGGCACTGACTTATACGAATGTTTGAATGTCGTGCACAAAGCGATCAAGGACAGAACGGTAAACTTGAACGATTTCAAATTCCGGGAGTTCTTCAACCAGTGTCGTGACATGACATGAAAAATGTCCGACAAGTAAATTTGCCACTTTCCGTGGTCCTATCGAATGCAACAACACTAATGGTGGAGCTGAACTACGATTCTCTACTGCAGAATTTCGTTAAATACTTCTAAGAAAATAACGCCAAGACAATTATTAGATTAAACGATACAGAATACAACAGTTTTTGGTAAATATTTCGAATGATCGACGATCGTGAGGTTTTGATAAATAATAATATTGACATTATTATCACATCATACCTCAATATATTTTAATTGACTTTAAGCGAAATCACCAAAAAATACCGAAATAACGAAATGTTGCTTGGGTGCGGTTATACTGTTCAGGTTCCACATTTATTCTGTGAAATTGCAACAATTGTTTTTGGTGCATAATGAAAGTATGTTGTGAAAAAAAAGGAGATGAACTTCGGTAAGAGGAACTAGAATGGGTATATAAGTACACTATATAGGAGCTGTAATAAATAACAATCAATGGAATATATCAGGGCGATCAGCTTTCAAATAAGGACTGCTTACAGGTCACAAAAATCAATTTTTTAGGTTTTATGTTTTTTTCTTAAAATTTAAAAAATAAAATAAAATAATTTGAAAAATGTATGCAGTAATATTGGAAAATTTTCATAAAACAATTATGCCTAACATAGGTGGCTAAAATGCCAAAAGTTTTGTTTCACATGCGTGATAAATGTATGCAAATATTAACTTTCACAAGAGAGCAGTTTTAAATTTTAAAAATCATAACTAGTGGTCAAGTTAAATTGTTTTTTCGCTTAATACTTATTGCGTATTGACTTGAGTTTTCAATATTAGCACACATAAAATATTAAATTTTTTTTTTTCATTAATTTAACTTGTTAATAGAAGAAATTTATTTTCTTTTTTTTTTATTAATTGTCCATATAATTACAACAAATATAATTTTACAAGGTTTTGAATAGATTTGATATAAACATGTTAAAAATGTTCATAAAACTGAGTCAAATTATACGCCTCCTAAGAATACATATTATGTGATATTTATATAATAACTTTTATATTTATGTTCGTTGTTTTCAGAAAAATAAAGTTTTACCATTAAGCATCCAAGTTGACGCATTGCACTCTGGGGATATACCACGCTAATTGCCAGAAAAATCAACATAGTGTAGGTACTTACAAACTATAAAGCGTGCCTCTTTAGTGACGTGATAGTCTGGGCATCATACTGCATGTTATATATTATATTTTACAAGTACAAAAAAATATGACGATCGATGATCTTTATTGATAAAATGTAAAAAGGTGCCTATATAGTATATATATATATAGTGGTTTTTATGTGATATGCACATATTAATTTATCATAATAAAATAATATATGTGTTATTTATTCATAAAATACGTAGGTTCAGTAATTTACATACATTTTTTCTCCATCATGCTATTATATTTTTTTTACATTTTAAATTTTTTAGCATTTTTATATCTACTTAGTTGGTGATTATACGCTTTGTATAATATAATATATATTTATATTTAATATGTGTGTAATGTGTCAATAATATAATATGGGTAATATAATTATTATTTATTACATATGTATAGTACCTGACATCTGTGTTATGTTAACTATGCGTTGACTCCTAAGATCAATCACAATCATAACATAATATGATTAACTTTAAACCGAGACAATTAGGTATTTGAATTACAGCTATGAGGCTATCAATTTTTTTCAATTTCGATCATAAATTGTTTGATATCGTCTAATCATTTGCATTCGTTAGTCCACTGTAGATGAATTTGCGTTAATTTTAGAGTCAAAAATTTTCGTTCGGTCATTATACTAATATACAATTAACACAATTATAATGATTAAATATGATTAAATATGATAATTATTATTATTTTTTTATGAATAAAATTATTAATAACTTTTGTAATTATTATTTTTAAGGCTAAAAATGGTTTAATTCGAGGTTAACCATCTTTCCGATCCTTATACCTTCAAGTATTAAAAGAACAAGAGCTCAAATAGCGTATGAAACATATGACGAATCTATTAATTTATATAGTTGTTTAAAATTATTAAATACATTTATATAACGACGAATTTAAACTTAATAGTACCTAATTATTGCATTTTATTCTCAAAATTATGGAGATACAGTAAGAGATTTTAGACAATTAAAGATAGATTATAGTGAAATGTGAATGCTTAAATATTATAGGAGTATTAAAAATTTATTTTTCCAGGGTAGATGATACCTAATAAAAATTTGATGTTTATAAGTCTAAGTTATAAGTGCTCCGCAGTGTTTCAAACAAAGTAAGCAAAGCTAGAAATTTTTTCCGACTAAAAAATGTTAAATTACTTTAATACAAAAACTAATAAAGTATCAGAAACTATTTTGACATTTCCCTAATTTTTAATTTAATTTAAAGTTAACTTTTTTATAGTTTAAAATAAAATTAAAATTCGTTCGTTAAAATGTAAAATAAACATTACACGTTAAAATAATAATTATCCTAAAATTATAATGATAGATTAATTAAGTTGTAAAATTATTGATTATTTCTAAAGCACAGACGTCCATGGTTTCAAGAACTTTATTTTTTTGGATTGGTACACCATATCAAAGCCATTGGTAAGAGTGTAAGACTGCCTTAGACCAGGGCCGTAAAAATAAAAATAAAATATATCTTTATGCTATTATTTGTATTAATAATATTTATTTTATTTAGAACACGCAAAGTAGTTATACAATACCGAGTATTTAATTATTTTATCAAATAATGAGTGTTGTTCGATAAAATAATTACCCTATGTATTAATATAAATCATATATAAATATAAATGAAAATTTTAAGCTATTCAAGATTATCATTCAATAGTACATGAACACAATATAAGAATATATTTAGTGCATAAATATTACAAAATGCTTACGATATAAAATATATCATAATGTTATAATATAATATAATTTTATTAAGTCGAGTGATAGTAATACAGTCAAATTCGCTTAGTACGATCTTCAAGTGACCAAGAGAATCTGATCATTATAACCGAACTTCGTTATATCCGGATTATAAAATGTAACAATACATAAGATATAAAACCAACCAAATACATTGCTTGGAATCGTTTTACCCGGAATATCGTTGTAAACGGCATCGTTATAAGCGAATTCGACTGTAGTTTTAAAAATTGATATGCATTATAATTATTAAACATAAGATACATGTTAAAGTTGAAAATAGAATTCAAAATTTAACACCCATCAATATATTCATACTTATTGGTACCTATCTTTTCATATTTCAGTATTTAATCATTAATGACATTATAATTGATATTTAAAAATTTTTTGAAAAGATGTCTTAAAAGAAATTCTACGGTAAGTTGCAGTTAATTATTTTCACAAGGTACATACAATTTAATAAAATACTTTTATTAATTTAATTTGATAAAATAATTATGCATAAGAATAATAATATCTGATATGGTGTTTAAGAAGTTGTTATTACCTACTATTTGTTGATATTTATTATTTTTTTTTTATTGATTAAATTTGAATTTAAATGATGTAAAAACATTAGTTTGTTTACATTTTAAAAAAACTGTTAAAATATATTTGAATTAACATTCAGAGATCTAAATCTTATTTCGAATCAAGTAAAAATTTGTGTGGTGGCCAGGGGAAGGGGTTAAAAATGTACAAGGGTGGAAATATGTGAAATGGCATGGAGTACTTATGGATTTTACTCTGGATTTAGTTGGTCATGACAGATAATTCTTAATACTTTTCAAGGCGATTGAGGAAAAGAAGTAAAAGAAATTAAGAAATTTTTACGCCAAACAAGTTGTAGGTAGACGAATCGATATTGTTAGGTATTTTGTATCAATTTAAAAATGAATAACTTATAACACTTACATTTTTTACCAAATATTTACACTAATATTTTATATAATTTATAAAATAAAAGTATTATTTGTAAACAAAAATAATTGAAAAAGTTATTTAGGGTTACTCAAAATTATTTCTTACTGCAATTATAAAATATTGAAAATAATAAGTCATAATATGATTTTTATACATATATGTTATAATATAAGTAACATTAAAAATTCAAATTAAATTAAATTTGAATAACCAAAAAAAATATACACAATTTACTTACTTACATTTAAATCAATATAAATTTTTATTTAGAAATGTATTATTTTTCTAAAATTGTGATTACTGATAATGATAAGTTTATAACAATGATAACGTTGTTTTTGGTATCACAAAATATGAAATATTGAATTATTTGAATTTCTTTAAGTCATGAGCTTAAAAAATGTACCTATTCTATTTATTAAAATTTTTATTTCATTTATTTAACTCAAAATAAAATTCGTTTAAAATTTTAGTGTGTATTTATAACTAATAATTCATTGTCTTGAATTTAAAAATAAAATTGTTTCATGAAGCATTATTGATATTATTACTATGTGTATTAATTTTACTTATGGCTAAGTAGCTTATATTCTACTGTTGTGAACTACTTGTAACATTTTTAAACTACATCATGTAAGTATTGATTTTTATTTATGGGTATTAAATTAATTAAAAATGATTTTATTGTTCAGAATGTCAATTCCAACTGATTTACAAAATCAGCCAATGCATCAAACACCAAATTCTAATCAACAAAATATGCAAAAAAATGTTCCTCCAAAATTTGATCCTGAGTAATATTTTTTAGTATCAATGAAGTTATATAATTTTATTTATATTGTTTCTATGTATAGATTGATTACACCGTTATATGATATAAATGATTTGTATCAAAATGCTAAATGTTTTCAAAATTATCCAGAATTTAGCAATAAAACAAAAAAACAAAAGTCAAAGGTATGTAATGAGTAATAATGTTTTTAGTTTAGCAAAAATTATTTGATTTAAAATAATAATAATATTTTAAAAATATGAAGAAACTAGTGTTTAATCTACAAGTAAAAAAAAATTACATTATACTTAGGTAAGGTTAGGTTAATAGTACTAGTTTCCTATTAATTAAAATGTTATTACATTACATTTAAAATATTTATTTTTTAAATTTTTTAAATTATTAATTTATAATATTTTCTATATATTTTACAACAAAATATGTAACTGCTTATGGCTAAAAAAAACATGGTTCTGATTTTGTATAAAGCATATACAACATCAACCTTTTATTTATTGGTAGATCCTCTATTATAGAAAATTGCAAACAACACTAGAAACCTCCTTTTCTACCCAAATAACCATATAGCTTATTATATTTGTGTAATTAAAATATTATACTCATTATTTTGAAATAGGTAATATTGCAACTACTTTAGTATCAGTTTTTGATTCTTAATTACTACTTTACCTGTTTCAAAATATGATATATGTACATTTTATAATACTTTATTACTTGTATATTATTAATACATTTCATCGATTAATTATTGATTATATTTATATATTATGATAAAAATTGTTTCAGAAAAATGACAAATTACAAATCACAACACAATTTTTATTTGGTCATCATATGCCACCATATTACTCGGTATTAAATCATACACTAATGAATAAATTGGTAATGCACTTAAAGAATCCTAATGCTCCTACTGCTAAAATACTCAACGTTAGTATATTAAGTTATATAATATATTATAATGAAAACTTAGAAATCGACAACGTTTTTACTTTTATTTTAGCAATTACATCTTTCACAAGCAAGCGTTTATTCCACTTGAAATTTTTTTTTTGGGCATCAATGACGCTGATCATAGTTTTAATAAGTAAAGTTATTTTAATTATATCATTTTTATCAGTCTATATTCCAGTACTTACTGTTGATGATAACAACAATGTAGTTGAAATTAATAATTTGCTAAAACTAGAAGAATTGAAAATTTGGAAATTTTTGTAAAAAAATTATATATCTACTTGTTTTTAATTTCTTTTTTTTTTTCGTAAAATCTATATAATTATTTTTACAATAAGCGCCACGGATGAAAGGATAAATAAGAGGGCTTGATTTTTTGGATTGAAGAAACTATTCAATAATAGTACTTCACTCTACTGGTGGTAGTGATTAGTCAAGTAGCAGGTTTTGACACCAATGTTCTTAATTTAAAATTATTTTATATAATTATATATATATAGTTTTGGTACAACATTTTAACCATGATTATGTTTTGGTTTTATTAATTTATAAAATATTTTTGTAAATGTTTAGTTGCATAAAGAAATTATTGAACATGAACGAGAAATGTTTGGGGATTGGCTTTCAAACCTTTGGGAAGAAAATTTGAAAAATCGTCGACTCAATTCTATACCGTTTATTGAGAATTATATTAAATCTGCTTGTAATGTAAGAAATACAAAAGTTTAAGTATCATTTACTATTTATGAACTAGTAAAATAATTAAAATTACAATTAATGTTTTAGTTTTCAAATGAGTATATTAAATCACATTATAGTGGTACATATAGCTCAAAAATGAAGATTGACTATAATATAAGAGATGAAGTTGAAGTGAATAAAGTTGAAATGATATATTGTGAAAGAATACAGTCTGCTGTAAGAAATTATTATTATTTTTCATTAACCAAAATTATTTGGTCCTTTTATTATATTATTAATTATAATTACAATTTCTTTTTTTAATATTTAGAAAGTGAATTCAATTAATCTTCCTTTAGTAATTGATATTGAAAATCCAGAAACAAAAGTTTCTTTTACAGATGGTGTATTTGATCCACCACAAAAAATTCCTTGTAAGTATTAAATTTATAAACACTAATATTTTTAACTTATTTTAGTGGTTTTATTATTGTAATCATATTTATGACATATATTTGGATTCAGAACTGATTATATCAAAATGAATGCATTAAATGCAAAATTTGATGCTTACATAACAGATTATTTAAAATAATTAAAAATTAAATTTTGACAAGGCTACAATTTATTTTTAGCTCCCACCAATAAATACACCTAATTGCTAGGTGCTATTGATTTAGTTTTTGCCTTCAACTTAAAATTTTAGTTATGCTGATAATTGTTATATATGTTAAAAATTTCACTGCATTATTTTGATTTAATTTCCTAATTGTATGTCATGGCTAAAATAATCTAATGCTGTTATAGTCATAGAAGATGAATGTTGTCGTACACTGTCAAAAAACCATAATATTAATGTTAACATATGTTTAAGTAGTATGAAAAATTTAATGAATCTAGAAAAACCTAATAGTTTATGGATTATTCCTGTCAATATAGATATTGGTAATTATTATTTTTGATATTTTTAATATACACTAAAAAACAATTAATGTGGATACTGTTTTGGTTTTTTAGATGATAATGAGTGTAAAACAGTTTATGTTGGAGGAGCATTATGTACAGGACATTTCTCTCAGCAAGAAAAAAGTTTGTACTATCTCAGAAAAGAACTGAAAAAAAAATTCATAAATCCGTAAGATATCCCATAATATCTTATATAAGAATTATAATATGATAATTATTAAACAATATGATTTTTTTTTTCATAAAAAAACAATTTAAATAGCTTATTATTATTTTTAAATTAACTTTAAAAATTATTTTTATTTTTTGAAAATTTAATTATTAATAATCTTATAATTTTATGAACAATACTTGATTAATTAATTTTTAAATTTTGTAGTTTATCTAACAAAACCGTTCAGAACAATTGTAATAATTATAACTATGACAAATGGATGTTAAAAGTTAGCGATACCAATGGCATTGAAAAATCGTTTAATGTACTAGTAAGAAATAAACCTCATGGTATACAAGTAAGAATATGTCATATTGAGTTAAATATCTATGTACAATATAAATATTTTTGTGTATTTAGCAACGATTCAAACCATCTAATACCCCAACAGTAATTACACCAAAAATTGAGTATCAACCAGAATTTGGCTTTGAAAAAGTTAGTGAAGAACAACTTATCGAATATTGGCTGGATACAAACTTCAGATGTCCGAGAACCAAATTAGCATTAGGTAAATAAAGTTGCACTTGTATCTTTTTTTATTATATTGAGTCTTATCCAGTGTGTTTTTAAGTAACATATTTTATTTTGACAACACTACTCTAAAATAACTTAAGTACCACAAATTGTTACTTTAACCAAATTATCAAATTTTAATACAGTTTTCTTCTTTCTCCTAGTATCAGTTCAGCATAACATGGATCTCATGCAGGTAAAACGAATAATTGAAGAAACAGAAAGCGTAAGTTCAAATGGCAACGATCAAAAGTATCTACAAAGATTGTATCTAACTCTAGACAAACTCACACAATTAAGTAAAGGAGAATATGTTCTGCTTCACAATCCTAAAAAACCATTCCACGTTGATCTCTACCAATCATCAATGTAAACAAATAAAATTAAGAAAACTACATTGTGTTTATATTTTTATTGAAGTAATTGTTACTTTAGGTATGGTGGTTTCAATTTATTGAATATGTATTTTGTTCTACAACAGACTGAAGTTTCCGATTCATTAGTTTGGAATCCTATAGACTCAAAAGTAGTATGTCCAATTCATAATTACTTCAATATTGCACCATGCATGTTCAAGCCAAATCATGAAGAATTAGATATAAAAATTATAAGTATGTTATATTTTATTATTATTGATCATTCAAAGCTAAACTTTTAATTATTTTTTTAGCTGAACAAGTTGACAAGTATAATACAGATAAGAAAGCCAGAGAGGATTACGAAAATGCACAACTCCTCAGAAAAAAGAGAATAAAAATGGAAAAAAATAAAATTAAAAGAAAATTAAATAGAGAAAATGATATTTTATACAAAATTAAAAGTAATATTAAGTAATTATATACACCATGATAATTCATTGACACAAGAAATCACAAAACAAACATATTTTTCATTGTTTATTTAGTGTCGGGTTTTTTTTTATGAATAAAAATAAACACATTGAGCAATATTGTATTTGTTGAGTTTGAAGTTGTATTTAACAATTATATAATTAACTAATTTTAATCATCTTTTATTTTTCTCAACAATTATTAAAAGCTGACATCACTTATTTTTTTTTTCTAAGGTGGAATTTATTAATATTTATATAGAAATAGAGAATATATAATGTTAATCAAATTAATATTGAACAAAAAAAAAAAAAAAAGAAAAAAAGATATACATTTTTATTCCTATAAAATAATAAGTAATGAAAACAAGTATAATTAATGATTAGTAGTTATTATTAATCATTGTATTAATTTACATAATTTTATTTACAAAGAAAATGAACTGTTTATTATAAATTTATAAAATACAAGTTGTAAAAAATAAAGCCCGCACATAAATTTTGATGACCAATATTAATTACCGATTCTATTTATCTCTAAAATCCAGTAATCTAATTAAAAATATAGTACTATTTTGACTTCTTGAATTTATTTATTTGATAATATTAATCAAAAGAAATATTATGTACTCAGAATACAAAGAATTTTTAATTTTTTGATATAATTTGTTAGTTCACTTTTTATGTTAATTTTTTAGCAGTCTGATACAATGTATCAACAACTTTGCTCATACTATTAATATTATCTAAAACTAATTCATAAGTTTCATCGATTTCCGCTTCTTCAAATACTATAAGAATGCCTTCACCCTGGTCTAAAATACCATGAAACTTCTTGTCCAATATCATCTGTGAAAGTTTTCGTTCAACATTTTCCATTGGTAAATTAATTGATTTAGCAACATACTCAACTTGTACTCTGAAAATATAAAAAATAATTAACATTAATAATGTTATACAAAATTTGCTGTAAAATACAAAGTTATAAAAGATTTAATCCAAATAAAATAAAAGGATAATTATTGTTAAATTACGATAATTTATTTTATCTTTAGTTTTTATGCAATAAAAATTAAGTAAAAATTTTAAGCATTGATAATGAATGTTTAAACAAAAGATATTATTTAAAAATGTGATACATTTAATTAACTATTTTAATAATTAGCTTAAAATCAAATTCATATATCTTATAACATTTTTTTTTTTTTATAGTTCAAAATCTAAGGGATTATTAAATTATTATTTACCTCGAGTATGGTTCTATGATTCTACACAAATTTTGTTCCAACATATTTCCATAAAGTGTATCTAAATGTGCTCTAACGATTGGATCTTCTTCCAATTCTTTTTTATATTCATTTAAACCAATTTGAAAATCTGCTAAAGACCTTTTATGACTAGCTTTTGCTATGCTCTTCATTGCTTCTACATCACGACCTGTATATTTTAATGCTAATTTGCCACTTACAATCTGTTGCACATCTTCTGCGTTATTTAACATAATCTTTGACAAAAGCATGTACTTCAAAGCCTTAAGTGCTTTAGATGTACTGTCTACGCTATCAAACCCTTCAAAGGCTTCATAGAAATAAGAATATGCAGTTTTAAAGTCTTGCTCGTCAGCTGCGTGTAAGATTCCTGATTGCAAGTCAAGAGAAGCCTGCATTTTAGGTGGACAATAAATCGAATTTGCAGTTGTTCTGGCAGAAGTTAGAGAAGCTCTAGCCTTGGACAAATTATTTAAAGCATGATAAGCTTTGCTCTCCAACAATAAAACATCAACCAACAAATTTTTATCATCCAATTTTTTCAATTCTTTTAACAATACAGAGCCATGTTGCAAAGCTTCTTTGAACATTCCAGAATCAAAGTACAGAGCCATCAATCGGGACTCTAAGGACTGTCTGAGAAATGTTCGTCGCTCTTCTTTGGCCCATTCTATGCACTCCTTGCACAGTTGCAATTCAATCCCAATACCTGCTTCAAGGTCCAGGAAGAGGTCAACGAGGGATCGCACCAATTTTGCCGCCTTTGCCTTACTGATCTCTGACAAAAAAGGCCTAGTCTCCTTGATTAAAGCGGCCAATTCTTTGGCCTTACCTTCTTTCTTTAATAGTTCTCCCTGAGAGAGAATTAGTTGTTCGCGTGCCATAATCCTGTCGTGTTCCGTTTCGACTTTCTGCAATGCGAAGTCAGACGGCTTGTTCATACGCGCTAACATTGTAGCACCTGCCATTTTGTCGTCGATGTGTGTGAAAAGTGAAACCACTCAAAACACTTAATTCGAAAAGATATCAGTTTACTTCAGATGTTAGCTTTTAAGTTTTAAGGATGAATATAATAATAATAATAATAGGTTATAGGTATGCGATAGTTAATTTACGCACTATGCAACAATAAACAGAGGAAATCAGGAAACTGTGTACTGACAAGGCGAAAAGAGCATGACCAGCGATTTATAAAGATATCGAGTGTGACCAACATGATTACCAATAGCACCCACCAACTACAAAATATTTACGTATACTATAAATGGTACCGCTGTTTCAAAGAGTTTTGCCGGTTTCAGTGGAGGAGTGTTGACGGAAAAAAAAATTCAGAAAAATATCTTTCAATGGTACTCTCCCTTTATTATTTATAGGTTTACTGAGAAAATTTCCAAAAATGCTGACGAAAGAACATTGTTGTTGGGCTACTCAGTACAAGGTGTTACACGCACGTTGGCCGCACTGACGAGGTGACGCCGTTACAATGGCGTGGCGTAGTGGAGGGAACGTCCCCTAACTCCCTAGCTTTGTTTATTAGTTTGCAGCGTCTGCGTCTTTTTGCGTTAATTGTGTACCAGTTGTTTTGGCGTTCGATATTTTTTTTAGTTCCTGTACCTCAGTGACGAAGAATTATGTTCAATTGTTGAAATTACACTTTCAGTTTTATCGATTTTTGCGTTACTACAGATACTCAAACTCTTCGTTTAGAATTTTCGATTAATCTCGACGAGCGAGATTTTATTAACGCGGTGACGGACAGACACGTGAATTGAGCTTCCAAAATGAGTGACGTCGAGGTGAGTAATAATTTTAAGATACTGCTACCAATATTATCTCCGAAAGACGTGACGCCATTTCTCTAGTTAATCGGTGCTGTGCGGTGCGTTTTCTGGGCAAGCCCATTATATTCTTTTTTAACAATAATTGAGGTTATGTCACATTAAGAATTTTTTTTTTATAATTTTTAACTGTCACAATTGTTCTTGGCTTGTTATTTTCCTTGCTTTACTTTGTAAGAATCATGTTTATTAACCCTTCATGTTTATCGTTGTTTCAGGACCGCAACGGGAATTCTAAATCTCGTTCCATTACTCCAAGCCGGAGTCGTAGCAGATCGCCAAGCGATCATAAGTCTCGCAGTCGATCACCCACTCACTCGAAGACACGTTCTAGATCACTGTCTCGGCCACCCAGCCGCAACGGTAGCAAATATAAGAGTCGCTCTAGGCATTCGTACTCAAGGTCACGTTCTAGGTCTCGTTCATATTCTGGTGATCGCCGACGCAGTTATCGCAGCCATTCACGAGGCTCTGGCTCGAGACGCAGCAGACATGTAATTAACATTATAATAACAGCATTAGTTTCTCACTTATTTTTATATCTTGTTTCATTTATTTAATGATGCATATCATTTGATTATTTGATTTAGGAAAACCCAAAGCCTAACAAATGTCTGGGCATATTTGGCTTAAGTGTTTACACAACGGAACATCAACTGTACGATATATTTGCAAAATATGGTTCTATTGACAAAATTCTTATTATCATTGATGCCAAAGTAAGTGACTAAATATTAAATTACAACTTGATACAGGTTTTGCAATGTATTATATTTATTTTAGAGTGGAAGGTCTCGTGGTTTTGGTTTTGCTTATTTCAAAAAGCATGAAGATGCAAAGGTAGCTAAAGAAGAATGCTCAGGCATGGAAATCGATGGCCGCAGAATACGAGTAGATTTTTCAATTACCCAACGTCCTCACACACCGACACCTGGCATTTATATGGGCAGACCGACGTAATGATTTTTTTACATTGATTAATATATGTATATAGATGTTAATATTATGTGTTTTTACATTTCAGAATGAGAGAAGAAAGGTCATCCAGGAGAAGAGGTTATGATAGATATGATAATAACCGGTATGATCGTGGTGATAGATATGACCGTGGAGATCGTTATGATAGATATGATAGAGATAGAGATTATGAGTAAGTAGTTGTAACTTAAATTTTAATTTGTGAGCTTAATTCATAATTAATATAAAATTTGTAAACATAATATATATTATATTATTTACATACAAACATAAAAATCATTTACTTATTTTACAGCGACTACTATGATGGTGGATACAGAGGTGGCGGCGGCGGTAGAGGTGGTGGTGGAGGCCACTACAGAGAACGCAGATCGCCATCATACTACAAAAACAGATCACGTTATGATAGATCACGTTCACGTTCTTATTCTCCCCGTAAGTCTTAAAGAAATTTTAGTCTTAATGTTCGATATTAGTACCCTATCCACCAATCCAGTGTTTTTTTAAGCTTATTTTATTAACTTGCTATCCCATTATTTTTTCTTCATTTTCTCGGGTTTTTCTCATATACGAATATAAGTTTAAAAAATAATCTATTACTTAATGCAGTTTTTCAGCTTTCAAAGTATTTTATCAAGATTTCTCACATATTCAATTTTTTATTCATTTCCTGAAGACCATATTCGAAGAAAAGAGAATATTTCAAACTGTCAAGATAATAATCTATATAAATTGACTTGAAGACTTCTCGAACTTCTATAACTTTAAAACTTTTTTTTTTTTTTTAATTTAAAAAAAAAACTATAATAAGAAGATTCTTCAAATTACAAAAGTAGAACACATGAAGACCCATGTTCACAATTTGACCCAAGGGTAGAAAATTGGTAGACACTGATGAAGATCTTGAAGTTTGTCAAGAAAATTAACAGTTTATCGCTACTAATTACAGAGGTAAATTTATAGAATGGTGTAAATTTCCTCTAAAAAAATAACGTCCCGATAGTTAATAATAACTTAAAGATATCAAATTTTGATCTATGCATGAAAAAGTTCTTTCTTAGTAATTTCCTAAAATACTTTAAGTTTCTTATAATTGGTCTTGTTTTGATTATCTTAGTCCCAATATTTCGATCTGCGTGTTGTTGGCGTTAACTAAGGCGTTTTTACTCATTGTCTACGATTAAAAAGGGCAATTCTGTTGATAGGTTTGACATTCATATGAAATTGTATGGTATTGATTGACTGCTGATTGATTTCCTCTTCATTCTTCCCAAACTAATCTTGATTTTTATAAGAGAAGTTAAATTATTAAAAGTATGACCACACAACAGACAAATTGAACCTTTTAATTTGTCTTGTGACATATTTTGTACAGAATAATTGTGTATTTTAGGTATAAATATTTTGTTTTTAAAAATAACCTGATTAACAATACTTGAAAACTGGTACATACTGTTAATTAAAATAAAAAATTGAATGTGTATAATCTCTTGTGACAAAAATTGATTAATATTTTGTATATATTAAATGTGAGGTAATTTTGTTAACGTAATTAAGTGTTTCCCAGATATATTTTTTCTTTGCGCATTTACAATTTAAAATATTTATATTAGTACTATAGGTATAAGAATTTGATTATATTTTTATTCTTATACTAAAATTGTTGATTCTTGAACCTATAACTTAAATTTTCTTGGTATAATTAAACTTCTCAAAATAGTGATTATTTGTTCAATCAAATAATCAACATTTTTCAAGTATTCAATTGTTACTTGAAAATGTTTTTTACTTATTAAAGTATTTCAAACGTTATATGAGTTGATCAATAAAAGTATTATCTGAGAAAATCTTAATTACTTATACAATATACCTCTATATATTTTTTATATAAAATACAATTAATATTCCTCTAAATTTATCAATTAAATAACTTAAAATTTATTACTACTATTTATACAGTAATTTTATGGATTAAATAATGAAATTGGGTTTTTAAATTAGTACTTGTTTGTTATTGCTTTGCAAACTGTGCCGCTTAAAATTAATTACACTATTGAGCTGATCTGTTGTGCCAAAATATTTTTTATATACTGTTAACAATTTTTGGGTATAATACATTTTAGTAATGTATTGTTTAAAATTATTTATACTGTTGTTAATAATAAATTTTTCATAATAACACATTAAAAACTAGTCATTTTATGTTTGTAAAAATTATGTACAAATATTAAATATTGCTAGTTACTATTTTATTAAATAAAAGTTTAATATATGCACATCCTATAATTGCACATACAATATAATGACAACATACCAACATGACTTAAATAATTTTAATTTTTTTTTTTTACTTAACTTTTGTTATAAATAAACTATATACTTACTTTACCTGCAAAATACTAAAATGATTAATCAGTTTGTTGATATAAAGTCATCTGGTAATACATTATTTTTGATAGTTTAGTGAGTCAATAACAAACAAGTACCCAAAAATTAATATTTGAATATGTATATTTATATTATATAAATAATAATAATTTATATTATTATAATTAATAATTAAGTTCTTCGTTTTTTTTTTGTTTTTTTTTTTTTGTTATCTTGAACACAGGTCGTAATAAAACCTAAATGAGCTGGAATATCATCAACGCAGGAATGTTTTGTGAAGAAATTGAATATACATAATTTTTTTATTGCCCAATTTTTTTTTCAAAATTAATTTTTTTATCTTAAATTTTACCACTTTGTAACAAGACAATTAGTACTATTAAGTTTAATCAACTTCATTAATTTTTTTCATTCATAGGAAGATTGTTTTTCTTTACTAATTATTACTATGTATTTGTATTTTCATTTGTTCTGCTAAGGTGCGGAAAGAGTTTAAGACATTTTCTTTGAAGACTAGGGATAACATTGTAATGTGAAGCATTTGTCAAGTCTGAAGAAACATTAAAAGGAGTGAAGATGTTTGGTCAAACATTTTGACATTTTAAATTTAGTTTTGCAATCTTAGTTTCACAATATTTTTAGGTTCACCCTATTTAATTGCTCCTACCTAAATTGTTTTGGTAAATAATCAACTTGTAAATATTTAATTTTTTTTTTTTAAATTTAAACTTGTCTGACGCTAATTTATGCATATGTTTAAAATAATTCAATATGTACTAAGCAAACAGATTTAAGAGTGAATAATAAAAAGTTTTCGTATTCTAAATATTTAATATTACTAATTAATTTTATTTCCTATATCATCCTATTTGGAACCTTCATCCTATGAATTTTAATAACCACAAGTGTTTTTACACTGCATTAAATCTTATTTAAAATAGGTCACTTCAATCGTGGAAAAAAAAACTCAGTTTGAAATATGTTGATGTAAATTATTTTTATTTTGTTTTTATTAACTGTTGTCAAGCATAGGAAATTGTCTATGATATAGTTATACAACATACTATGTTTTAGTGTACAAATTATTACTTAAATAATTTGAATAAGTTCTAAAGTATGTATAATATAATTTGTAGACAATAAAACAATTTGTTCGTGTAAAAATAATTTATCAGAATGAAGATAACTAATGTATTTTTCTTTATTCATGTTGATTTGGCAATTTCTGATTTGTAAGTATCACATAGCATTTGCACTACTATTTAAATGGTTGAACTTGTAGGTTATCTACTGATTACATACAAGTTAAGACCAGTGTTTGTCAATATTCGAGTAAGAAATTAGTAAACCAATTGTATTTTTTTTTTTTTAATATTTTGTTTTTATTATAGATCGTTTGAAAATTTGATATCTAGTTTTCAACAACAGTGTTAAATTACTGGTGTCATTAATTCTCTGTTTATCTGGTTGTTTACACTGTTGAATTTTATTATAAATGTACTTTCAGTGTTTAATAAATTATAATCTTTGGATCATGACCTTTTTCCTATAGTTTATTACAGAGTATATTTTTAATTTGATATAGTTAATTTATAATTAGTATATTTTAGATTATGAACAAAGTAAACACAATTTTGAGTCATTTCAATTTATTTTTTTTGAATATTTTGTGTGAAATAAAATTGGTGAATAATTTAACATTTAATGCTAGTAATTAACAACTGATAAACATAAATTAATATTTGTTTATTGATTGATAAAAAAAAAAGAATATTAAATATTCATATCTTAAAATTAAACTAGATGTAAACAGTTGTTACAAAATAAAATATTTGTTTTGTAAGTTATAGCAATAAATAATCATAAGTAGTTAATGTAAATTAAACAAAAGATTACATCAAGGAAATTAAATTTAACATAAATGCTGAAGGAACTTTACACCACACAATAATGAAAAGAAAAAAAACTGTAAACAATTAATTAACACTTATACACTATCATAAAAATTAATGTAATTAGGGATTACCAAAATATTTCGATCTCTATAACCGTGTATGATCCAATATGTATACTTTGATGTAGTAACTGACAAATCTTAAAGTTTGGTGTAAAAATAAAGTAGTTTTTATCATATAAAATATGGCAACCTAAATATTTACAACACAGTATTACATATTATACATCAATAGTAAAGTAACAAATATTTGCTTAGTGTACAAAATAATATCAATTTAGTACAATGTTGATACAATTTTTAATTAATTAAATTAATGTAAATGCAATTAATAGAAGATTGAAAAGTGAATAAAATTTTAAATTGTATTTATAATTCAAATACCTATGTGTAATCAGTTAGTAATAAATAATAATGCTGGAAATCTATCAGATATTTACTAATAGTGAAAACTTTTCTGACACTCAATACGTTTTAAAATATCACAAATAAAAGTTATGTTTTATTCTCTCCACAACACACTTGTACAGCGAATCAATGTATTTTAATATCCACAATTGACCGTACTACATTGGTTTTGGTGAATAAAATAATATTCAAAACCTTGATTAATAATAATTTCTTATACAAATATTGAGTAGGACATTAGCATGGCTTTATGTTCAATTATCACAGTATCAAAAAAATATATAGGACTTAAAATAATTTTTGGTCAATGTTTATCCGTTAGTTAAGGTTGTATGACGAATTAAGATCATCTAGACAAAGAATACTTTATAAATGTATTCAATTAAGTCACTGCTGGAGTGTCTGTTATGTTCAAAATCAAGTTTTGTAAATCTTTATCAGCTTCACTCGTTGAAACCTTTGTAAAAAAATCATCTTCATTTTCTTTGATGACATAAGGTGTACTATCAAACTGATAATGTATACCCAACACAATGTTGAATGCTGATACATCATACCCATGACAGCTGGAATATCTGTATTGCGGTTTCTTGTCATATCTACATCCTTTGGTCTGCGCCCCTGCAAAACAAACATCAAATAGTGATCATAACATTGTGTCAGTGATAGTAATAGCCATCAAATTTCTCGTCTCCTTCCAAATACCTATAGGAGATATGCATTCACTAATGAGAGCACATTGAATCCACGGTAGCATGATGTCTTGATGCATATCAAGAGTGTTGTACACAATCAGTTTGTTGACTGGGACCAGTGGCAGAAAGAAAAAATTGTCTGCAGGTGTGCGGAAATAATCAAACATCTTTGGGTGTGTGAGCGTTGTTGTAGCCATTCTTGTCTCCCAGCCGACTATCGATTTGTTGCTGTAGAGCGTGAAGAGTTTTGAGACATTTGGAGATATTATTCGTACATTTGGATCGAGAAACATCACAGCACCAGCACGGTTCAAAGCATCCTATACGTACAATTAAAAGAAGTAACATTTTTCTTGGACACCATGATTTTGTGTTCAAAAAATTGTTTAAAAATATATTCAAACCAAGTGTAATACCTGTAATACAAGAGGTCGATATGCTTTGATGTGTGTTCGGCTTACGTGAGATGGAAATTTTGATAGATCAAAATTGATAATTGTACACCGAGTGCTATTAGTACAAAACGATTGCATCTGTAGAACATACACATTAATTTTTTATCAATAGTTATTAAAATTTAAAAGATATATAAAGCACGTTAAGTGTATCTTTACTAGAAGGAGTTGGTATTCGGGTATTCCCAGATTATATACAAGTATTGCACGGTCGGGCAAATACTTGGCCACACACATGACAAGCCCAATTGCTTGGCTGTGTTCATCATCTAACACATATGTGACTACAATGGGCAGCGTAGTGTTCTTCCAAGAGGAATCTGGATAAATAGCCGGTTTTGAAACAAACCCCAATGCATACAAATACTCTTCGTTAACCACTAATTCTTTTTGCTCGGCCACTTTCAAATTGTCCTGCAAAAAAAACAAATCGCTGGTGTTGAAAAACGACACTGATCGCAGACCACATAACGGATTCGATTACTTTAAAGTTTTTGAAGTTATTGATCTGCTTGTGCGTTTCGGTGACCAACGTCTCAATAGCTGGCCGGCTCAGACTGTTTTGAAACATTAGGAACAAAATACTGAACGAGAAGATGGCGATAAAGCAGAAGAGCATGTACCGCGATCGCAACCTCAGGTAATGTAACTTGAACATAGGGCTTTATTTATTGTCAACGTCGGTTTGAGTGAGTAAAACGCAGTCGTGAGCTCAACTATACGAGTTGAAACTCAACTGCCTTGCGACCACGTCCTGCACCAGGGTAAATATTTTATATTAATAGACCTCGTGGACGATTTAACGTCTTATATGAAAGTTAATGTAGTAATATACGCTTAAATCCTAATTTTAGTTTGCTAGTTGACAGGTGACGGTAAATTGTTATCATAATAGAGAAAATTTGTTGATAAGCTTTATCAGTTAATACTTTTAAATATCACCGATATGATTTATTTTAAAACGCAGGTGATAAGCACTTGTCTGGAAAATGATAAGGACCTGAGATATGATAATCGAAAATTAATATTAATCGTTGTTAGTAAAATTATTGACATTGTTTTTTAACCAGGTGACTATGATCTTCATGCATGTGACCTACCTTCTTAACCTTAGTGATATTTTCGTTTTGAATGTCCGAGCTAGTGCAGCGAGCGAGTGGCAACGCTGGCCCCTGATTCCCTTTGAAAATGTCATGTTAGCAATACATTTTGTGCTTATCATATTACCCTCATCATTTTTCGTACGACTGCACCCATCAGTAAAGTTGTTACTCTTATAAGTTATAACGCTTTGGTAACTTTGGTCATATGACATATAGTACGATATGGATATTTGGCCATGGGTCCATGGTATATAACAATAACTGCTATAGATAAAAAAACGCGGTTTGCACATATTGTGCATGGCGTGACATGTTGATCCTCATTCCTCATTCAAATGATGCAACTGGTGAATAATCAATATTCGAGTTGGAAAACTATATGAATATAAATTAGACGTATAAAAAAAAATTAGCGTCCCTTAAAAACAAAGACTCCACACACTATCGTAGGACATCTGTCTATCAATCTATTTAACCATTACTCAAAAATGTACCGAATTACAACACGTATACCTATGAGTATGGCAATAATTGTCAGTAAAAATATGAGTAAAGCTGGAAACTTATTGGAGTTGGCACATTTTTTTAATAATTATTCAAAACACGGCCATAAATAATATAGAAATTTGTTTCATAACACTATAGGCCTATTCTAATTGCATTTCTCACATATTGAATATTGCTAAGCGTTCGTCGTGAAGTTACAAAAAAATTTTAATAAACAAAAGTCGCTCGTTTATACTTGAAAATATTAAAAAAAAATTATATTCATACAATACAATAAAATTGTCTATTATTTGGATAAAAGTTTAATAATTATTTAATCATAAGCAAAATATTATGAATTTTCGTTCTGTTAAGAGGCAAGTTTAAAAAAGATAAAGGATTAAGAAAATAAAATATTATGTTATTTTTAATTTTGGTTTTTTAACTAAGAAATAAAATATGTTTAAGAGCATTTTTACATATTATTAAAGTATTTATAGTTAATGTTTAGGGCATAAAATCCATGCATTTTTTTTAATATTTTTTAGTGCATTAAGTCTCTGGCCTTGTTTTTAAACAATTAAAATTAGTATACAGTAATATAAATACGTATATTTTTATCTGTAATACACAATTGCGGATAGTTGCTGATAGTTTTTACTTCTTAGCTCTTATCAGGCAACTTTTTTAAGACCGTGATTGCGGACTGTTGCAGTATACCAATTAGCCAAAAATTATTATTAGTCCGCAATGATACGATTGCGCACTAATATAGCTAAATTTATAAATAATACATCAATAATATGAGTTCTGTGCTTATTAAATACCTAATTATTAATGCATTGTAAAAATTTAAAAAAATATATTTAAAATATTTAAAAACAATTAGTTATCATTAAATAGGGAAAAAATATAAATTTAAATGGATATATTAAACTTTTCTTATTTTAATTTGTACTTGTATAACATCTCTAATACCAGGGTATAGACACTGTCCGATATTGACCAAATTGGGCAACATTGGCCTTGAACACGGTCTCCGAGGGGGTGTGCCGGGTGTGGCATACATTATCATTTAAATAAATAATATCAATATTATCACAGAACAATATATATTGTTGAAAATTAGTTGAAACCGTTGAGAGAACACTGAATGATAATAAAAAAATGCAAATATTGCAATTTCAAATTTGCTCGTTTCTAGCGATGTTTTTTTACATAAGACCCGTGAAAATCACTCGAGCAATGGATTGTTTCCATTTTTATAATATCGTAACAAATAGGGATACATATTGCCAACATCTAGTCAGATTACGGATACGGTTTTAACTTTTAGAAAACCAATACTTCGTACCGTAGGGATACAGTAGACCGCCCAGCTAATTGAGTGTCGTTTCTATATTGTTCTGTGCTAATACTGTAGTTTTTGATTTTAAACTTTTTTTTCTAATCATGTTATTTTAGACTATCTATAGAAATACGACGTCAATGTCGTTATATAATATTTATCACTATTATTATTATTATTATTATTATTAATATTGTGTTTTCCACGCCGTCCACAGTTTAAGATAATATATGTAGGATGGGGTTGTGCAAAACCATCCCAAATATTATGTACCCTGCAAGCCTTCCAATCCATCACTTTCCGCGTTATTTTTTCTGCGCCATAGTACGAATCCAACTCCTCACTTCAAATTACTTTAAAGTTGAATCAGTAAACCAATTTGCAATTAGCCACAAAACATAATTAAAAATTTCACTCTAAATTACAGCCTCGCTCTAACCCTCTAATTGCTAAACTTATATCCAACTCACTTCCTAGAAAACCTACACGCCGTTTTAAGAAAATAATTGTCTCGAGATTTATTGAATGATTAATGGTTAACTAATTATCATTTATAAATCATTTGCAAAAAAAAAAAAAAAAAATGAAAAATCATCACAAAAAAATTTAGCGTTAGGTGCTATCACTAAATTGCCTTCCTTCTCATGTATATAGTATATATATCATTTCTGTGTATTTTTTTCATTTTATAATTTGCCTATTCATAGATTGTAAATATTCTTTTTAATAAGTAAAACATAAACGTATAAGTAAAAATTACTTAGTTACGATTTTGTAATGTTTTGGTTATTCATAAAATATTAATCATTGAAACGTAAATAAAATTATTACTTTCACCATAATTTTCTGTATACATATATTGGAATTTTAAAAATATCCAATCTAATTTTAAATTACTTATAGATATTTGAAATTTGTTTGGGCTTTTTATTGTTTATTGAAGATTTATAATTGGTTAAAAAGCATGAAAATCAACAATTTTATACATAATCCTACATAAGTAGTTGCAATTCAGGTACAATTAAATACAGGCATGGATTTTTTTATAAGTTATATAAGCATTCGAAGATTAAATTTTAGTTTTTATTTTAGTTCACCTTCACATTATTTAAGTTCGTAGTATTTAAAATAATACATATTTAAATTATAATAAATTGGTTTTAAATTTTTCTAAAATATACAAGGTCTTATGTAGGTAGCCCAATGTGCCTGGTCTAAAGTTTGTAGCTAAAGATGACGTCGCACCTAGATGTGTTGTCTCCATCTTACACACGTACGACATAGTACGTTTTCGTTCACCAGTTTCAATAGTGTGCTTTTAATTTTGATATTAGAGTGAATTGACCTATTATCAAATTTTTAGTTAAGAACATTATCTGTATTCTCTCGTTAGTATTTACGATATTTTAATTTTTAAGTGAGTTATGAGTATGAAAAATATAAATACTTGAAAATGTTCATAACTCTGCACTTAAAAATTAAAATATTGTAAAAACCTAACGAGAAAACATAGATAATGTTCTTAATTAAAAATTTGATGATAGGTCAATTTACTTTAATATCAAAACTAAAACACATTATTAAAACTGATGAACAAAAATGTACTATATCGTATGTGTGTAAGACAAAGACAACACATGAGGGTGTGACGTCCTTTTAGTTGTTTGTAGAAAGATACCTTATATTTTTTTTGGTCTCATCTAGAGCCCGTTCAGTTCGAACCCCATACAAATATAAAATGGCCGATTCTATCAAATCCTGCATGTGGTCTGTGACGGACATGTCTTTTGTCTTCTTTTTAAGTATCTCTCTGTACTCTTTTATCCATAGGTTTGCGCAGAACTTTGGTACAGGTACGGCAAATTTTTTTTTATAGGTACTCGATCTAAGCAATGGTCATTTTGCAGCAATGATAAAGTTATAATTAATAATTTTACATTTTATTGAAAATTTTATATCACACTATATAATATTAAATTCAAAACATTTTAATACAGGCATTATGTAATGTGTAAATAACAAATAAAAATATAAATTTTAGAGAAAGTTCAGAAATCGAAATTCGAGGAATTAAATATTTAATTACAGGTGCGGCACGTGTACCGTACGCAGCCATGCATGCTTCTATCCACAATTGTAACGTACAGCTGAGAGGGAGAAAAGTTAGGACTTCAATCCTGTTCCACTGTGTTAATTTTTTTTAGACGATCATTTTAATCAGAGACTAGAGACTAGAGTAGCTGACAATTGTTACGTGTTACCATTGATTATAAATACTATTTATAATCAATGGTGTTACGTATTATTCGTTGTTAGGTGTTCTTTCCATGATTAATCATTATATAGATATATGTATTTCTAGCTCATTCCTAGTTAAATTTGGTATGAGTTTAGTTGCTTAGATATTACTTGTGTTATATGAAATAAAAAATTATATAAGTTTGTACATTAAAAAAAACTTTTAATCGCGTCAAAATATCAATAAAGAGTTGTGAAATTAAGATTAATTTACGTAGTTTCAGTTTTTGCTCTAGCACCTTATTGTATATTATTTATTACGTTTGCCGCGTGGATGTACCACATTTTATTTGTCCGCGTAGACGCTTAGTGTTAATTGACGACATTGTGTCATAGTCAAACGATGTATAAATCAAAAACAAATACCATAATAATATTATATGTCACAGGTGTTTTTACTTGGGAAGACAAAAGATGTGCGTT